GGGACATTTAAAAATGTCCACCCGCTTCGGCAGCGCTCCCATCCGGCCGTTTATCTACATGCGCTGGACGGGAAGTGGTTAAATAAGTACACCCCCCATATCTGTATTCTTCATCATGGGATTAGATAAAGCATACTTTTTTAATATTCAGTGACTTTTATGTGGCTGAGGACACCTAGATAGAGTGGTGGTGTTGGGCTGACTCAGACGGTGGTGTCTTCTGGATCGAAGGGCGGATGATGACGTATTTCCGGTCCCAGTAATGGACTTCCGGTCCAAGGGTGTCCATCGCCACCTTTCCGGATATTGGACTGGGTGTCTCCATGGGGACTTTAGGTATACTATATAAGGTTTGGTATTATCGACTCCTCTGCCTACTGAAGAAGCCCGTATGTGTGAGCAATGCATCTAGGGAGGAGGAGCTGATCTTTGTTACCTTTGCTTGCTGCTATCTTGCTAGCGGAGTGGTGAGCATTGGAAATTTTGGATCTATCTGCTGTTTTTATATGAATATTATGGAAGTGTTATTTTAATAGTGGGGAAAATAAAGTCTCAAACAGAGAGCACTATGTTTTGGCCTTTTTATTACATGGTCACATATCCATCAATCTCTGAGCATTAGCGGAGAAGAAGTGGGATATCACCTGGATAAGAAGTGAATTTGGGGACCAGAAGGGCTGCTTTATTGTGAATGAGATGAGCTCTTAATGATATATTGGAGGTGAGCAGGTTTTTCACCTGATGTGGTGGAGGTGCACTAATTGTGAAAGGAAGAAGTGTACACAGTCATGTGTGGATGTGTATATACTGCAAAGATTTTATTGGACATTCATAATTTGGAGTTTGGTTACATTATCATTAATTTATACATTGTGTTGACATGTTTATATTGCGATGCACTTTTAATTGTATTAATAAATGTTCTATGGCTCGACGATGTTCGCCGAACTTAGCTCTGAGTGCTCTGATGGTATCTCCGAACTAGAGAAGTGAAATTTCTGGAAATTTTAAGGCCATGAAAAAAAATTTTTTTTTTCCCCTGTTTCTATTTTTCCTTGTGGAGTAGTTTTACTGATTGAGAGTAATTTTTTTACACAAGGAACGTAAAGTGCAGTGTATATAATAAAAGTATTATGCATGAAATAAAACCACAGTTTATTCAGTAAATAAACTAAACTTGCTTTTTAAAATATGTGATGATTCAGAAGCAGCAGAAAGAGTGTTTCTGAGATAGGGAAAAGCTATTTGCACTTTCATTATGGTCCTTTTAATTCCGTAAAGTATTTTTAATGTCTTTAGGGCACCTCTAGCATGCAAGGACATGTCCTCTTTGTAGCATTTGAAAATAATATTTCTTCTCACAATGTTTGCAGATTGCAGCTTTGCTCTCACCAGAAATTACACTGTGGAAATGTTTCCAAATTCTAGATGTTGGTCTCACCATTTTACTGAGAGAAGGAAAAGAAAAAAACTATTTACTGACCAGACTATAGGTAACCATTAGGCTCCATTCACACTAGGTTTTTTTTAAATCGCAGATGGAATCACCACGATTCTGCCCGCGATTTGGAAATGTGCTGTAAAAGTGTGAAAATGCGTGATCACGTTTTCAGGTGCCATTCATTTAAGGGTGTTTTTGTTGCAGCAAGTTTTTTCGTGCAGCAAACACGCTGCGATTGTGCAAACAAAACTGCGGGATGCGTGACACCCAAAAAAGTTTCCGGAACCTCTGTGAAGCCAATTAGGTGAGAGGATGAAAGGACCAAGACAATCCCATCTCAGGTTACCGAGAACTTCTGTGGGGGTAATGCTGTTGTGCTCTGAACAGTGTTGCTCTACCAGGGGTTACATAGCCATTTTCTAAATAATCATCCAGCCAAACTTTTAAAGCAATTAATTTTCATTTTGTGATTTAGAAGAAGTTCCCTTTCTTTAGAGAGAAGAAGGTTGTCTAGATCGTGATAAAGATGTATGCCTCTTCTGATCAGAGTGACTGTTGCGAGCAAAGACTTGGTGAACACCCGAGGGGAAATAGAGAGCATGAACGGAAGGCATATGAATTGCAGATGCTCCTGCCCAACCATAAAGCAGAGTAACTTTTGGAAAGAGTGCATTATGGGCATGTGAAAAAATGCATCCTTTGGATCTATAAAGATGTGCTAGTCAACTAGCTGGACTGCCTGTTGGATGGAGTATAACATTTCCATTTTGAGCTTTGCTTCTGAATGAGCTTGTTCAAGTGCATGAGGTTGATGACAGGCCTCAGGCTCCAGACTTTATCCTGACAAGAGTGGTGAATACATGTCCTGAAACCTCTCCTGTACTTTAACAAGTGCACAACTGCACTTTGTGCCACTAGTGACCTGACATAGGACAGGAGAATATGTCTTCTTTTTTTTTTTTCACTGGAATGAGGCAACTCTGCGGCTAGAAATCTGAGGCATGGTGAATGGCTGAAGGTCCAATTGTAACCTGAAAAGACCTTTCTGAGACCCGTGCATCTGAAATTGAGGCTGCCCACACATGCCTGAAAAGGGGCAAATGATCTCCTAGAATGCATGTCTGCACAGACATGGCCTCAAAAGGGTTTAGAAGCATCTTGGCCTATTGAGGCAGACCTCCCTTCCAACTCTTTTAATTTCCTGACCAGGTCTATAGGAACTAGAGCGATCCATGTTCTGTTCTGAACTAAGACCTCTTCTGATTCAGCAAATGTCTGTCCTAAGGCATAAACCCTTACTTACTACCCCTGGATCTGTCTATGGCACTGTCCAGCTTATTACCAAAGAGCGAAGATCCTTCAAACGGGATCATACACCAGACCTGCTTTGATGTTTGGTCTGTTAGCCATGCCCGCAACCACAAAGCATATTTGACCATTACTGACCAGTGCATATCATGAGCCACAGAGCAAATCTCAATAGAGGCCTCACACAAGAAGACCGAAGCAAGCTTCAGCTCATGTATAGCAGAGCCTCCTGCTGCACCCTCCATAGTTCTTTTTAGCATGAAGGCTATGTTCACACTAGCTCTGTCATCTGGTGTCAGACAGGCGTTTGGGAAGCGTTTTTTAGCGCTTCTCAAACGCCTCTGAAAATTCTGCACATGGCAGCACACAGTGCTGTTCACACGGAAGCGTTAGCATCGCGTCAAGGCAAAATGGATGCCTCTGGTCAAGTCAGGAGGAGTTGAAGCCTCCCATTCAAGTCTATGGTGCTGCTCCGGCCTGGTCGGCATTTGCGACGCGGTTGCGAGGTGTTTGCGGAGCGTTAATACCATTTAATCTTCATTATAGGCATTTGTGGTGCTGTTTTAACGCTTGGCAAACGCCTACCAACCGCCGCAGGGCATTTTTGAAGCGTTTGTGGAGCGTTAAAAACGCTTCACAACCGCCTGTCTAACGCTTGTCAAACACTATAGGGGCGTTTGGCAAGAGTTAGAAATGAACGAGCCCAAAGTCAACCTTTTCTGGCCAGAATTCCATTGCTTTGGATATGGCAGTTAGGGCCAAAGCACGCTTAGAGGCCATTCCTGCGGCCAGCTTGGGTGCACGATTTACATCGGCCAGGACACAAGGCACCGAGCTCGTGTTTTTTTTTTTTTTTTTTTGTTTTCATTTAGCTCTGCTGCGGGCAGTCACATCGACACTGACCTTAAGAAGATTTAGCTGCAGATGTGTGAAAATTGTTTTAAAAACTACTTGTCCAAGGGCCTAATCGGGGTCCCAATCTACTCTCTTATGACAGTCTACTTGTCCTAATAAAAAAAAAAATAATAATAATTCTAACCAAATCCGCATTTAAATCTGAGGTGCTTTTAGGAATGTCTGGGGCTTTTAAAAATGAAAGGGGCCTTATGGCAACTTACACTTTTCATATTTTTAACATTATGCTGTTTATCTCCTCCTCCTCTCCCCTGCCTGTCTCTGGCACAGTACCCGGGGACTAGCAGGGAGGGGAGAGACCTTGCAGTGTGATGAGCACCCATTGGGTGCTTGTCAGGAAAGGGGAGTTCTGGGCTTTCTTAATGCTCAGCAGAAGTATGTTTGCTGAGTGAGTAAATGAGGCGCCTGCCTCAATGAGAAAAAAAACAACTTTATTGCTTCAGGTTACTCTCGCACAAGGAAACACTTGGGTGCTTAGTACAAACACATGCTGAGCAGCCAAAACAACCTCTGGTGCTCACTCCATTAACCACTTTCCCACTGCCCTATAGCAGATATACAGCTACAGGGCTGCAGGGGTGCTCAAAATCACTTATATAAATGTGATTTTGCATTTCCGGGTAGGGGGTGTGCGCGTGGTTATTAGCTGCCTCGGCTGTCAATCACCAGGTCCCGGCCGGTGATTACTCACCGGCACCCAGTAATCATGGTGCATTACCGATGGAGGGAGAGAACTGTATGTAAACAATACAATTCTCTCCCCTGTCACCTCCTGCACAATGCTTTGCATAGCACAGCCATGAAAAGCAGTGTTCTTACAGTTGAAAGCACTAACATAGCCCACAGTAAAATAGCACACAGTTAACCCTTTGATCACCTCACATGTTAACCCCTTCCTGCCCAGTGCCATTACTACAATGACAGTGCTTTTTATTAGCACTGACCACTGTATTGGTGTCACTGAGGATGTCATCGCCCTTCAAGACCATCTTTGAACGACATTGCATCTTCCAGAGGTAAGGTTATGTGTTTAGCAAACATCATGAGGGCCACATGCACCAGGAGAGCCAAATCCAGGTGCTGAATGTCCTAGTCTTTGAAGGGATATAGCTTGCCATTCTTCTGTGAAGCTACGTTTTCTGCTCAGTCTTATTCCATTCTTTCATAATGATGTATTTGAACTCAGAAAATGATGGAAAGATGTTTAACCACCTCCTGCCCGCCATATAGTCCAATGACGGGTGCAAGGTGGTTCTCTCGTTCTGGGAGGACGTCATATGACATCCTCCCATTCTCACTGGGCTCAGGGAGCGCGAAGCAATTGGCGGCGGTGCGCTGTGTCCCTTGGACACAGCGGATCACCGATCACAGAAAGAGCCGAAGATGTTGGCTCGGTCATGTGATCAGCTGTGTCCAGTCACAGCTGATCACATGTAAACAGGGAAATGCCAGTTACACTAACAGCTCGAGAGGAGAGCCGGTAATTGGCTTTTCCGTGGAGGGGACATGTACACTGATCATCAGGGCAGTGATTATCAGTGTAGCCCCAGCAGTGCCACCTGTCAGTGCTCATTAGTGCCTTGTGCCAGTGCCCATCAGTGCAACATCAATGCCACATATCAGTGCCCATCTGAACTGCCTTTCAGTGCCACCTATCAATGCCAATCAGTGCCACCAATCAGTGCCGCCTATCAGTGCCGCCTGTCAATGCCACCTAACAGTGCTAGTCAGTGCCGCCTATCAGTGCTACCTATCAGTACCATGTATCAGTGCTGCCTTTTAGTGCCCATCAGTGATGCCTGCCAATGCCCATCAGTGCCACCTACCAGTGCCTCCTCATCAATGCCACCTATCAGTGTCCACCACTGCAGCCTCATTAGCGCATATCAGTGAAGGAGAAAAATCACTTATTTACAAAATTTTATAACAAAAACTAAGAAACTTTTTTTTTTCAAAATTTTCAGTGGTTTTTGGTTTGTTTAAGAAATAATAAAAAACCCAGAGGGTATTAAATACCACCAAAAGAAAGCTCTGTCTGTCACAAAAAAAATGATAAAAATTTCATATGGGTACAATGTTGTATGACCGTGCAATTTTCATTCTAATTGAGACAGCGCTGAAAGCTGGAAATTGGCCTGGGCAGGAAGGGGGTATAAGTGCCCTGTAGGCTAGTGGTTAAAGTAGTTCTGCTTCTGTGCAGGAGATTACAGTGGCTCCTCACACTCTAACTTCCTCGGTGCCAGACAGTTTAACACCTAGTCTGGGCCAATTCTGACATTGCTCTCCTACATGTAAAAAAAACATACATTTTTTGATAGAAAATTACTCGGATCCCCCAAACATTATACACTCACCGGCCATTTTATTAGGTACACCTTGATACTGATTACTATTGGTTTGTGAACTCACAATAGTGATTAGCTGCAACACAAAAATAAATATTTTTTTTTTCATTTATTTGGGTTACCACTGAGGTTTTCTTTTCATCACTAATTTACAGATTGTTTTATTGAAAATTTTCACTGAGTTACATGTCAAATCCCAGGTATCATGTCTAATAGGAGTTTTTATCATTAGTGGGATTTCTAGATCTATTCCTCACCTTAAAGTGGTCCTAGAGCCTGAGGGTTTTCTACCTTCATAGATTGCTACAAATGTACGTTATACAATTTTCTTCCATCAGTGCAGTCGGTGTTTATGGGGGAACCCCTCCTGCAGCGCTATTGTGTTCTGCTGGCGGGGAGTGCAGGGAGTCTTCCCCACCAGCAGTAATTGGGTGAAAAAAACCCAACAGGCTGGTTGTATGAAGTCAATCTAGCTGAGTTATGTACTCAGGCTGCACTCCTCCAGTGATCAGACTTTTGCTGACACGTCCCACCCCTGCACAGCCATTATCTTGAAAGATTAGTGTGCTGCTGCTTCTCCTCCTCCCCACCTCTCTAAGATCCTTATGCAGCTGAGAACAGAGGGCATGTGATCACTTATTAAAGGGGGAAAAGAAGGTATTTATAATGTGTTTTATATGTATACACAAATGTGTTGCCTTTCATTTTAACTGAATAGGTTGTTTTACAAAGTGAGGGTTTACATATTGTGGCAGTGTTAAAAGGATATTATGTCACCCAGGAGTCTCAACAAGACAGGTTGAGGGACACCAGAGTGCTTGTTCAATTTGGAGGAAACTGTTTTCAGTTTCCTTGGTGTTAATTAAAATTTTGTTTGGGATCTGGAGCCTGTAGATTTTGCAGTGATCTGGGTGGGAGGAAATCTTAAATCCTGGGACCAGGTTTTGGGAATAGCCAGGAGACTGATTTTGACAGGTGTGCGTTGGGTCTCTCCTAGAGTTAGGACCAGTCCCCCTGTCAGAATACAAAGGCACAACGGAGAAGATCACCGCACTAAGATGCTTGTTTTAGTACAGCAATCTCTTGTTTTTTTTGTTCATCTTTTATTGTGTACCTGTCTTAAAGCAGTGTGCCATATTTTATTAGCCAATAGTTAGATATCAATCAAAGAGCAACATAATACAATATACTAAAAGCCCTGTCCTTGTAAATTTGTCTTGTAGGTATGCTTTTGAACCTGGTGGAACTGCTCCAAGTCCACGGGTTGGTCAGACATGTGTGTATTTACCTGCGGATGAAGACAGTGGAAAAGGAAGAATAGTTTTCATTGGTGGAGCTGATCCTGGTTGCTGCTTCTCTGATGCTCACATTATAAATCTAGGTATTACAGATAACATGTTTATTTTCAAATGCATATTTATTTTAGTAGCATTTTCTATGTTAATATTTTTTGTCATTTCAAGCCACACTGACTAAAGACCATGTTGGACAGGCAATTCCATCACTGGTGACACATTACCAGAGCAGAATTACAGATGAGAGCCTTCCATTTACCCATGAAGTCACTTCCTTGCTATCCTGGAATGCTGCAAAATCTTGTGTGCTAGTGAAAGAGCAACATAATGCTAGGCTGGCCAGTGATGCAGCAACTCCATGGCAACAGGCAGCAACAGGCTTCACATGGTCCTTTTGCTGCTGGGTTCTTGCCACAGGCAGGATCAGTCCGACGTCAACTGATCTTATTGTTTTGTGCACACTAGCTTCAATCTTGTACTGTTTTCACAACTGCAAATTTTGGAATGTTTAAACACCTCTTTATTTCTCTTAGTGCTCTTTCAGAAGGTGTTGAATTCTAAAGCAGCCTTAAAGAGTTTTGAATGCACATTGTTAGAGTTCCAGAATCTGTGGTCCCAGCTGTTCAGAGCACCGTAGATTTTCTCAGCTGCAATAACAAGTTGCTACAGGAACTTTCATCCAGGATGATAGGGTTTCACTGCTACCTTTGGCAGAATTTGCCTATAACAACGCTAGTCACTCAGCCACAGGACAATCCCCATTTTTTGCCAACTATGGGTTCCATCCATCCTTCTTGCCTGATCTTGTTCCAGAATCTACGGTCCCAGCTGTTCAGAGCACCGAAGATTTTCTCAGCTGCAATAACAAGTTGCTACAGGAAGCGGTGACTAAGGCATAAGTGGACAAGAAAAGGGCTTTTGACAAGAAAAGAAGGGGGGAACTGATTCTTCAGCCTGGCAAATTTGAAGCTAGCCTGTCCATCAAAAAAAGTTTGCACCCAAATTTGTGGGCCCATTTCCGGTAAGAAGGAAGCTCAACGAAGTACCTTACGAATTAACTTTACCTGAATTGTTCAAGATCCACCCAGTATTTCATGCATCACTGCTAAAACCTGCAGTCACAGATCCTTTTCCAAATAGAAGATCTGACCCACCTGAACCTGTAATTGTTAATCCCCATCATCCCCATGAGGAATATGAGGTGGACTGCAGAAAAAAGAAGAACTGGTTGCAATACCTTAATAAATGGAGGGATTGCGGTCCGGAGGAGAATTTTTGGGAACCCTAAGAGAATGTTCATGACAAATGCCTTTTTCCACAGTCATCCACAGAAAAGAAGCCAATTGGGCATCTGGAGGCTGCCTGTAGGGAGGGGGTAATGTCAAGGACATGTTGGCCATGGCATAGCTGAGGCTCGTAGCGGCACGTGAAGGCTCAGGCCTGCAGGTGCTCGTACTGTTGTGCATAGCCGTGCGCATATGCGCACACATATGCACATGCGTGGGCATACACGGACGCAAATGTGTATTGGCTAATTCTGGCACCCACTGGCCTATAAAAGGTGCAGCAGCTGCACTAGTAAAAAAAATGGGAATATCCTCCTGCGCTTAATATGAATAAATCCCTATACTAACAGCTGCTATTACTCTGCCTTAACCATTAAGTCATAAAGTACCACACCCTAAAATAGTGAAGCGCTAAAATAAATACCCTATATACGCATAATAGGTACCATCAAAACCTATAATAATTATAAGATACCTTCCAATAAACCTATTAGTCTATCAGTGGAATATCTTAAATAAATATATTTAAAAAAGTGACATATATCACTCATAATAATATAAATCCGTGATTAAAAATAAATATGTGACAAAATAAATATTCCCTTAATTAATCCATCCTTCAAATTAATCAGTGATATAAAATCAAAATCCGTGATTATAATATTCAATAATACAAGAATTATATATATATATATATATATATATATATATATCCGTGATAAATTGTGACAAACCTATACAATTGGAAGTAATGAAACTGTGATTCTTAATCAAAATAAGTGATTATTAATTTCTGTGACGAACCATATATCAAAATATTTCATAAAAAAAATTTTTAAATTATATATTATATCCACTGTTTCTTGTGATAAAATAAATACACTGTGCCTAAAATAAGCAAAAAAAGTCCATGCAATAATGTGAAAACACTTAGTGATCTTCACTTCTAGTGCTCAAAAGGAATCCTCCAATGGCAGCAATGCCTGCTCACCTCCCCACCTTGACCCACACAGGGCCACAAGGCTATAGCTCTCCTTAAAGGCAATCCTTTAATCCAGGCAGCTCAGCAAGGGATCACAGGACTTCCACTCCACCCTCCTCTCAAACGTCATATAGGACACAAACAGAACTTCCCATAGTGTAATACTGTTTAATTAGACACTCAGTACAACATATTGTTTCCACTCACATTTGTTTCCTGTTACAGAGCACTTTCCACCTCATTCCATGGGTGTATTCACATACAGGAAGGGAAACCAATATGGCCGCTGCATCCGGACATGCGTCCCCACGTGACCGGAAGTGACATATCTCTAAACTGGGAATGGAGTTCTGACGCGTTGCGTCACGTGCGTCGTGACTTTATCAGGGTAACCGCCCCCCAGTGCCACAATGTGTATATATAGGGAATAGTCTAATCACTATTCCCAATTAGAGGGCGGACTCCCTCTTTATAATTGTTTCCTCTGTTCCTTTAATAATAATAATGAGATGGGTTTATAATAAATTAAGTGGGGTATAATGTGAGTTTTTAATGTAATATTAATAAATAATCTAATGAATTTTATATTTAAGTGGGGCATTCTATAAGATTATGAAAGAATAGGATATTTAAGTAGTGATATTGAATAATGCCATAGATCGAGAAGGTATAATAGGAATATCTCCCATGTAATGAGGTTAGATCTGCGGGCTCCGGTAAAATGGCCGCCGGGAGTCCGCCCTCTAATAGGGAATAGTGATTAGACTATTAGAGGAGGTGGAGTGGAAGTCCTGTGATC